AGAAGAGTAAATGGAATGGGAGATCAAAAGAGTGAGCAAACTGCAAACGCTGGTGAAGGTGCCTCTAATCACAACTGCACTGCGCAGGGCCGGCTGGGCAGGGGTAAGGGTAGGCCCGAGGCCTGCAGGGAGAGATGTCAGAAGACCAGAGACCTGGCGAGACCACGAGGAGGGCCAGGGAGTGACGGGTGAGAGGGCGAAGACAGAGAGCCCCCTGGCTTCCCGGGGGAGAAACTGAGGGGAGGCAATGATGGAAGGTGAAGGTGCGGCTCCGCCTGTGGCTGCTGTGAGTGGGGTGACAGTCTGTCAATGGTGACAGGCAAGGTCACGGTTGGCTGGGACAAGAGCTGGGTCCTATGTGTTGAAGTGACCCAGAATACTGGCAGACATCAAGAATGAAAAGCAAGACTGTAAGTCAGATGTCAGATTTGCCGAGAAGCAGCGCTGTGAATGACATGGACAAGGAAGCCCCAGGCCGAGGAGCAGAAAATGCAACAAATGGGGACGCTGTCATAATTTCCATGTCTCAGCAAGCAGCCTTTGCTTTCTTTTTTTGTTTGTTTTCTGTTTTTTGTTCTTTTTGAGACAGGGTTTCACTTTTCAGTTCAGGCTGGCCTTGAACTCACTATGTAGCCCAGGCTGGCCTCAAACTCAGAGCAATCCTCCTGCCTCAGCCTCCCGAGTGCTGGGATTATAGGCGTGTGCCACCATGCCTGGCCTCCTTTTCTTTTTTCTTTTCTTGCTTTTGAGACAGGGTCTCACTATGTAACCCAGGATGGCATCGAACTCATGGCAATCCTGCTGCCTCAGCCTCCCAAGGGCTGGGATTACAGGCGTGCACCACCACACCCGACGTGACTTTTCTTGATTACTACGTATTTGCTGACTTTACAGAGTTCCTGGAGGGCATGGCCTATCTTGTTGATTGTGTGAATCCCACAGCACCTTGCCCAGGATTTGGTAACAATGGAGAGGAGAGGCCATAACCTCTCTTTTCTTTAGGAAGTGATGGTTCTTTATTCCTGTTTATGCAGGGAAGGTGACACTCTTTTTTTGTGACCCCAGCAGGAGACATTATGCCTGATCCACATTGAGGACTCCAGTGTCTGTCACTTAACCCAATGAGCAAATAGTTGGCTAACATCGCTAAGCTGTTAAGACTACTTTCCTGCCAAGACTGTGGTGCTTTTACATTCTACCCAATGCCCGCTACAAGGCTATGCCAGAGAGGACGCTGAGGCTCAGAAAATCAAATCTCTTACTCAGTGACACCCGGCAACATTTGAAGCTGTCATTTGAGGACAGCTCTAACTTCAGAACCTATTTTCACATTGTGTTGCCACCAAGACTAGTCTAAGTGTTACAGCTAGGATTTCAAAAAACCATGTTCAGGCAGGTGTGGTGGTGCATACCTGTGATCCAAGTACTTCGGGAGGCTGAAGCAGGAAGATTGCAAATTTGAGCCCAGCCTGGGCAATTTACTGAGATCTTATCACAAAATATAAAATAAAAAACAGGCTGGAGGATATAGCACAGTGCCAAGGCTCCGGGTTCAATCCTCAGTGGCGCATGCACACACACACGCAGAGGTTTGGTGGACGGCTTTACCTTTATTATTAGGGTGGTGAGTCCCAGGGGATATATACATTTTTTAGGTTGCTATATGAGCTAATCTCATGTGCGAAATAGATGTCAGGATGGGATAAAAGCATACAAAAACAAACAAACAAAAAAAACACCCCATGAGAGAAAACATGGAGGAAGAGAGCCAAAGGTCTGGGGGAGTCATTTAAGCCCAAAAACAAGTGACAAAGAAAGTAAAGTTGGGGCAGAAGTATCCTACATTGCATGTGGTCCTATGAAGGTTGCACAAGCAGGTGAGCCTTTAGAACCGGCCATGGGAAGAGGCCTGTCTCCCAGGCACAGCTGGGCCCTACAGCCTGGCGCACCTCACTGGCTAGGAGCTGTAGGGCGGGGCGTGGCCTCATTGACACAAACGGGGATTCCAAAGCCAGCAGCCGGGCTATTTGGCCTTTTATGCCCTCTGTAGCTGGAAGTGAGCCCAGTCCATTCCCATGGTTGCCATACCATGCTGGGAGGCTTCTGGGGGAGGCTTCGTTGCTTCCTGTTTGTCTTCTCTGTTTACCCACCTGCTGGCACCACATTCCTATAAAGCCTGTTTGGTATCATCTCACCATATCTCACTATAATGTGGCATGTGTTAAACAACTAAATGTGATCTTTAAAAATCCTATTTCCCCCTTCAATTTGTAGGTGCTTCGTCACGTTTCTCAGAATAAAGAGGGTTCAAAGACTTGTTTTTTTGGGGAAATAAATTCCTCTTCTGCATTTTAGTTATAGTAAGTATGGATTGTTATGCTTATCAAACTGACTCAAAGGTCCTGTTTAAAGTCTACTTTTTAAACAGGTATAATCATGCCAAAATTGGTGCTTCTTCCGTTCGCTAACATTAAGCACCTCTATGAAGAATATGGTGGGGTTTTTTTGTTTTTTTGGGTTTTTTTGAGACAGGGTCTTGCTGAGTAGTTGAGGCTGGCCTGGAATTTGTGGCGACTCTCCTGCTTCATCTTCGCAAGTGCTGGGTTTATAAAGTCACTGAGTGACAAGATGGAGAGACCAATGCTATTGAAAAGAAAGTTTAATGTTATTAGTCAAATTTCTTGTTGCTGGGGCACAATACCTGACACAACTTCCAGGAGAGATTCAATTTGGATCAGTTTGTTTGTTTGTTTGTTTGTGTTATTTTTTGGAAAAAGGGTCTCACTATGAAGTCAGGCTACACCACCAATCCCCTGGGCAGATCACAAGCTAATCAAATTGACTCTCCACCCTGCCTGCCACAGATGGTGTATACCTGTTGTCCCAGCAACCCAGAGGTTGATGCAGAAGTTCAAGGCCAGCCTGGGCAACACGGTAAGACCCCCAATTCCAAAACAAACAGTTGGAGAAAGTTCTGGAGGCTGAGGATGTAGCTTGACGGTGAAGGGCCGTTAGCATGCTCCAAGCCTTGTGTTCAATTCCCTAGAATGCCAAAGTAAGCAACAACAACAAACTATTCAATTTCTCTATGACAGGATGGCCACACAGGGCCACACGAGTGTCAGTGTGTTGGGCGGCAGAAAGGAGCAGAGAGAAAATATAGGCCACCGCCTGTCCTGGGTTTCCTTGGGAAAGGCAAGGCCGGTTAGGGCAAAGTTTGGGATGAGCTAGTCGGAGTAATCACAGTGTGTGCCGAGGAATGGGTGCTGTCCCTAGCTGTCTGCAACCTGGCCCTGGGATGAGTTAGTGCAGGGCAGTCGTGGCTTGAGGTGTAACAGTCAGATAAAGAAGTGGTGGGAGGCATGAACGCGGCTTTGTTGATTTGTATGTAAAACACAGGCTCACCACACATCAAATACGGCTGTGTCTAGGAACTGGCCAGCCCTGGAGGTTCCCACACCCGGCACCATGCTTACTCAGTTCAGCTGGGGGTTGTAAGTTGACCACCAGTTGTCAATCCACTACAGCCTCCCCAGTAAAGAGCTACACTGTCTCCTTTGACATTTGACACTGCCTCTTCAGTAACACTGTTCAAAAAGTGTTAACAGTGCTTTTCCCCCCAAATTTATTTGAAATAAATATTCAGCCTTTAGCCTTGATTGTACTGTGATGGAACTTTCAAGAACCAAATTCAAGCCAGGTGATGGTTTGTGCCTGTAATCCCAACACCTGGGAGGCTGAGGCAGGAGGATAAGGCAGGTGAATTGGCATGTGTGAGGGCAGCCTGAACTACATAGCAAAACCTTGTCTTACACCCCATCCCCAGAAGAATCAAATTTAAAGAACGCTAGCATGCAAGTGCTATGAATTATCTTCTGTAGTTAAAATCTTACATTTTTTTGAGATGCCATGTAATTCAGGCTGGCCCGCAAACTCACCGTGATCCTCTTGCCTCAGCCTTTCCAGGATGACAGGTGTGCACCACCACGTCTTGGTTCTGTAATTAAAAATTTGGAAGTTAGTATTTTCATGTAGTTCAGACTAGAAGGTTGATTTATATATATATATTTAAGTATATATGCAGTTAAGTTTCTTTACTTGTCTTGGGTGCGTTGTATTGCTGTACAGAACAGGCTGGCTATTTTATACAAAAAGTGGGTTATTTAGTTTAGTTTTGAGAGCACAGCACAGGCATCTGCTTTTTTCTTAGGAAGCCCCTTCTGCCCACCTCACCATGTGGCGAAGACATCATGGCAGGAACAGCTAACAACCCAGTCTTGTGGGGCCTGGCCTGCTCCTCTGACTAGTATTACTCCTTTGCAAGGGCAGCGTCTCCACGAACTATGTGTAGGACTAAAGACTTACAGCAAGGACAGGTTTGAGATAAAGACCTGAGAGGGGCTGCTGGCTCCAAAGGGCCAGCACAGCAGCTCTCTTAAGAGTTAGGGGTTTGTAAGGGTTAGCAGAGACTGAGGAAGCTGGGAACTATTCTGGGACCAGGGCATCTATCTCAGTCTGTGGTCCCTGGGCCATTTCGTTTGTGCAGGGTTTATTACTCTTCTGGAGCTGAGGGCTTCCTGGTCTGCAATAGTCTGTTCTATATACAAGAATTAGGGCGGGCCAGTTAATTGAGGGTAGTGGTATTATTAGGAGGCCAAGAAAGTGTGGGGAGGGGTCGGGACCCTGGGAGATGTGCTTTGGACTTTTCCTTTCCCTACCCACCTTTTACTGGGCTCCATGTTAAAAGCTCTTTTCTCCTCACCACCACCAGGCTGGGACCCAGCTCACAGCACTCCGAGCCTTCGAGAAAAACCTCAGCACAGCTGCCTTTCCATTCCTCCTGACACTACGTTTCTAGTTTTTTTGTTTATCTGTCCAGTTATTTTATAGGTCACACCCAGAACATACACACATATACTCATAGTGTATGAATTTTCTCCTAGCTTTTTTTTTTTTTGTGCAACTACTTAGATATATTTAAGTAAAAACAGAACAACATCTTTTTGGTAAATAAAATTTAATACAACCATACAGTCAAGTAATAATGGTTAAAAAGACATTTTATTAGTTAATAACTTACATAAATTTAAACTATGCAAGTACTAAAACAAAACATACACTCGAACTGAGAATGATGAAACAATTTTCACTGTGAAGACTCTGGAGCCTTGTATGGAAAGCAAAGGACACTTGGCTGCCACAAGTCTGTACTAGCTGTAAAGCAGATTATACTTTTGTTCAACTCTAAAGCTGTTGTCTTAGATAGCTCCGGAAGCTCTCAATAGAATCTGAATAGACTGCAGGGAGGGATGATGGGAAGGAGAATAATAAATGTCTTCTCAAGAAAGTTAAAGAAAATGTCTGTACAGGAAAAAAGGAAGTAGCATGTAAGAATGGAACAGAAGTAAGTAGACACGCTTTCTCAGCATTACATGAGATATTGCAAATGGCTTTTACAAGGGCTTAATCAATTTAAGGTCAATGTTACCTAAATATTTTAAAAGAACACCTGGGTATCAAAACAGAAAAATGAAAAATAAAACTCCAAGCACCCGACAGCCTCTCTCAACATTCTCATTTGGCCAAGCAAACACATAGTTAGTTGGTGCTCATTAAAACACTTAGGAAGGGGAAGCTTTTTGTCTCTATAGGAGACAAATATGAAACTTATCTAAGGTGAGATCTATTTAAATCGAGAACCTGAAACAGCACTGGTAACTTAAGGCACATAAATTCAGATGCAGTTATTCTGAAAACACTGAAACAGAAATTCTGTTCTTTGGAATAATACATAAAATAAGTTATGACTTGTTTTTTTAAAAAATTATTTATTATGATCATCCTTAGTACTATGTCAATTTACTATCTAAGGCAATCACACAAATGTAAAACATTCATATAAAACATTAAAAAATGTCTAAAGGATGTTGCAAATGTCTCTGGAATTATCAGTTCACACCCCTGGCTCAAGTGGCTTCTGGTGCCTAGCATTAGATGTGACAAGAAGTGTAGCTAGCTAGTCAGATCTACTGCCTATAGGTTAACTCAACTGATCCATTCTGGTTACTTGGTATGGTGAATTTATTTACCTAAGAAGAAGAATAGGGTGAGGTGAAGTAAACCTGGCTTTTAACATAATGCACAAAAATTCTAATAAGGCCAAAATTATGTTGAGGTTAACTATTTTCTTGAGTTTACTAAAATAAAGGCAGTCCATAGGAAGCCTTAGAAGATAGCATCGTATCACTTGGCACCATATAAATAGCAAGCTCTCCTTTTTGAAAATACAGTCTGGAGATGTCTCTTCCACATATAAATGTCAAGACATACAAGGCACACATGAACAACTCAACCCCTCCACTGTCATATACAGGTTCTCACAGTATTTTTTTTTAATCTATTGCCATATCCAGGTAACAGGAAAAAGAAACACACCCGGTTTGCTTATTGACAAAAGTAGTGTAACTGAACCTTTGTCTTCCTGAGTTTGAAAAAGGGTTATCTGACAGAGATAAACAATTCATATTCACTAAGAGAAAATGTTTTAGTTCACAAAACATTTTCATCTTTCTAAGTATAAAAGAATGTTCAACCACTGCCATGTGCGAAGCCCCTTTGCCAAATTAAATTCACTTTAGAATCAACTGACGGTTAGCACTTTAAACACCCCAAGTAGACAAAAGTGACAAATTAATACCCTCCCTGAGTATTTACATTATCTTTACTTGACCTGGTTTAAATGGAGTAAATACCTGTAATTCAGTCAGCTAGGAAAAGATGGTTACTGCAGGTCCAACAGGCTACCATGTCATACCTGTGCAGTAAAGTTAGTGGCAATGTCACAGAAGAGGAGGAAGTCAGATCACTTTGTCACTCACACGCATATGGTTAGATTGCTTTGTCACACACGCATACTGGAGAACAGGGGAAAGGATTAAAGTTCATGAAACACAGACACACAGTGTACTTCCCATTGATCTGTAAAGCATACTCTCATTCCTTTCCCACTGAGGCATCATAGCTGGGTCAGCAAACTTTACTGCCCATTTGTTTTCTGACCTTGTAAAACTGGTGTGTTGTGGACATTCTGATAGCATAGAAGTCATCGTTACTAACACTCATCTTGTAATTTTTTTTTTTTTGGTTGAGACAGGCCCTTGCTATGTAGTTCAGGCTGGCCTCAAACTTGTAGCAATCCTCATATGCCTCAGCCTCCCACGTGCTGGGATTACTGGCATATGTCACCACACTCAGTTCATCTGTACTTTCAAATATAAAAGGTACTCTAGAAGTACCCAGTCAAAAATTCTGGAATTGAATTTAATAGTACCAAATTTTACTGTGTTTTTTTCTGATCATTACAAACTACAAAAATTCTTGATGTTTGTATGTATGTGTGTACACAACCATACTATATCTCTACATATACACATACATATATACATGTACACCAACCCAGAGGCGCATATGAACACCACCTATCGAAAGAAAATCTTTCCACTGTGGGATGACAGAAGTAATATAACCTGACACCAATTTGCTTGGCATATCCTTTTTCATATAACCTAAGGTTCAGTCTCATTTTATCAAGGATAATGGCATTAATTATCAGGAATTAGTAAAGGATCTTTAACTGAAGTGAGAATATCAGTTGGGTAACTTTAAAAATAATTAATTTTCTAGGATTCAAGGATGACTTTTTGATGGCTTTTAACATAAATTACAACTAATTTATGTAGAGAAAAAAATTAAACAATATTGGTATGAGGTTTATGTTTAAATAAATTCTCATTTTTAGTTGCACTTCAAATTTACAATAAACACATGGATATGAAAAATAAATGTATAACAAAATACAACAGTTAACATTTTTATAATAGACAAAAATACTAGGATACAAAATTATCTTGATAAAACCTTTTTATGTGAAGTATCTGTATATATGAATGAATATAACCTTACAAATACACATCAAAGTAACAAGTATCACTTGTATAATGCTAAGCATTTACAAAACAGTTTTTCATACATTATCTCATTTACTGTAAAGAATTTCTGAACTAAGGTTCAGTTATTTACAAAAGTATAACACAGATATTTACTATAGAAATATGTGTCCCAAGTTGTACAAACAATTGGCTTTCAAATAAAATGACAGATACCTATTTCTGAATTGCTTTGATAGTTATCACAAAAAGTTACATATCATTTTAAAATTATGACTTAAAAAATTCCCTAAAGATACAGTCTTTAGAGTTTTCTTCAGAATTTAGATTCTAGCTAAGCATTAAAATTTCTTGATCTGAAATTTCTAAGATGAGGGAAAAAAGTTTACCAACGTTAGGTTCTTGATTACTACCTTGCTTGTAACAGAACACTGGTGACACTATAATCAGGTATCTGCCTCGCCCCTACTATGACAAAGAATACACGATTATAATGTAAAAGACGACAGTGACTGAGAAGTGATTGTAGCAGGCTCCTTGTACAGCCTGAAGAGTTGTAGATGGTATCTGTCCCCCCAGGACTCACAATAGTTACTTATGCTGTAGTTCCTTCCATGTCCATTTATTTGCCTTAGAAAAAACTCTACATTTTTTTCTGGAAACTGGTAAGCTTTATAGACTGGAGCTGAGAAACAAACAAACGCAGTTTGTCCTATGGAAACTTGAAAATGCTGATCAATATTTTACACAATGGGTATCAAATGAAAAATGTATCTTAGAAGACTGCAATGACTGCTCTTTCTTTCCAGATAGTTAAATATAGAAGAAAAATGAACCCACTGACATACGTGGTCCCTGGTTTGGCCTATGAAAGGCACCCTAACAACAGAGATTCTTGGAACTCTCAGCTGTTCACAAGACAATCCAAAGCACTGTAATAACGAGGTCAGACCTTCCTGGGCTGGGGAGAAACTCATCACTGCTTCTTACAGATCGTGCTGCAGAAGGCATTTCCACTCCCCTGTCAGGTCCAAGGAGCGAAACTTCCTTCGAGGACTTCTTTTGATGTACAGCTACTTGGGAAGTCACCACAGGCCACACTTTTTTTCTTCAATAGTTACTTACTTTTTCTTAGGAATTAATCTGTATTTTTAATCCCTCTTTTATGGGCATTTACTTTTGTATTTCCTACTTCCCCACAAAAATGTGTTCTGTGTAAGACTGCAAATATAAGAATGAAGTCACAATAATTCAGTATTTTTATGGTACTCAAATTGTCATCATTTACATTTTTATCAATTATAGGAAAAAAAACTTTCAATAAAATTAACCAATATGGCTACTGTATGTCAGTAACAAAGATTTTTAAAACTGATTTTTTCCCTCTCAGAATGCAATGTAAATGTTCTTAGCATTGGGTGAGTCAACCTAAATGAAGCCTCTGTCATGCAATTTTCTCTACCTATGATAAAATAAGGAATATACAGTCTCGTAGTTAAAGACACAAAGTGTGAAGAGCCCTTTCACAGGTTCCTAATCAATACAAAGACATTATTTCCTACAAATATTTACAAGGGTACACACCCAAAAGCCAAGCAACAACTGCTATTACCCTTAATGAGAAACATTTTTTTCAATTATAGGAAAAGCTTTATTACAGTTTACAAGATTGACATTTCTGGGAGAAAGGCACCGGGATCATTATTTTTACTATTTTTGCATAGGGCATGAAGGAGGTAAGTTCCCACTCTGGAGTTTCAAAACCTTTCTTCTTGGCTTGCTGCGGCTCCTTGGGTGCGGCAGCCTGGCGTTAGAGCTTAAAGCACTTCTCACTGTATCTGTGAATGGTCACGCAGCCATGGTAGGACACTGGCCTGGGCATGGCAGCCACACCTGTGATGATACTTGTCGCAGGATCGTAACAGAGAATAGTGTCTGTGGCCTCTCCATTTTCCCGTCTTCCACCCAGGATATATATTTTACCATTGCACACAGACATACCACAGTTCTCCTGTTTAACCAAATACATTAAAAAATTAACTGAAGATAAACATAACAAACTGAAAAGTAAAAGAAAACTTGCTTTAACACAGGCAAGAAATGGGGGCATGACACAGGTAACATCCCTTAGCCCAACTCCTGTCCTGTGTGTGAGTGCTGAATAATTCTTTTTTTTTTTGGTACTGGGACTCGAAGTCAGGACTTTGTGCTTGCCAGGCAGGCGCCTGTGCCACTGAGCTATATCCCCAGCAGAGTGCTGAATAATTCTGCATGCATCAAGTGAGCATTAAAATACATTTTGTTAATAATAGGGGCCAAGATGTGGGAGGCAGGTGGGTGTGACAGACTGACAGGAAGGTTTTCACTCAAAGGCAGTTCAACAAAAGCCTCTGTACAGTCTGACTTGGTTTTCCTACTACAGAAGCTTATTACAGAAAGTAATGGTCAAGGAGCGGGACCATTATTCACTTTAGAGGATGAGTGACAAGTTGAATGGAAGAGTTATAGTCAAATGAATATAACACTGTTATTACATAGAGGTCTTGGCTGGGACACAGAAATGCCCCAAATAACAGTGTTTGCAGTTAACTTCCCACATAATGCGATTCTTAGCTCATTTTTACTCTTGTGTATCAGTAATATAATTATTACATAAAACAATTTTTTTGTGGTACTGGAGATTGAACCCAGGCCCTTATGCATGCTAGGCAAGTGTTCTATCACGGAGCTACATCCCTAGCTCTTTCTTATTGTGAGGTCTCACACGTTACTATGCTGGCTTTGAGGTTATGATCGCCATGTCTGAGCCTCTGAGTAGGTAAGATTATAAGTATACACCACCACACCCTGTTTACTACCTGTTAAAATCCTGGCTTCACACAACAATGAAATAGGTCCACCAATGATTTCAATAAACATTTTTACTTGGCCAGATATGCTCTATATAAATTTCGCTCTATTAGAAATCAAATCTTAGTGAACTTATCTAATAGGATATTTCTTTAGGTCTGCAATAATTAGTGAGTACTTAAAGATGTCTCTAATACAGATTATATATACCCAAGATGATGTGGCTTATTATCATTACTGAATGTCATTTTCATCCAGAATACCACCATGGACTACCTCAATTATGGGCCAAACCTTACGGTCATTTTCAGAATATTCTAACTAAAAATATATATAATTATACAATCTGGTTATTAATAACATTTCAGGTAATAATGTTCAGAATTAAATGAAGCAAGCAACCTTAAAAATAATTCTTTGTATCAGGAAATTACTTCTACTAGATAAAACAATTTATTTTATCTATATAAAATACTTTATGAATTTATTTATACTATGTGAAAAACACAGTCTTTACTCAGGAGTAAGGGCAGCTACTGGGAAAAATAATTGATCAAAGTATGAAGTTTTAATGTTAATTGTTTGTTTTTTTCAGACAGGGTCCCACTCTGTGGTCCAAGCTGGCTTTGAACTCACTACGAAGCCCAGGCCTTGTGCGAGTACAGGTGTGTGCCACCATGCCCGGCTTTTAATGTTATTATTTTTTTAATGGTGCCAAAAGTTTATTTGAAAAGTGCAGGGTAAATGGGTATGGGAGAAACCAGATCCACACAGTGAACTGGGGTTGAACAAAGAAAAAAGGAGAGTAAAGGCAAAATAAAGGTACATGCCACATCTGAGAACACAGGGTGGGCTTTTGTGGGAACTCACAACAGCTTTTAATGTTATTTTTAAACACTAAAATAAAACATGATCCTACTATTGTTAAAAATAAAAAAAATTATTTTTGTATTTATAAAAGTCAAGAAATGGGCAAGTGAAATGAACAGACACTTCTCAAAGGAAGAAATGTAACAAATATATGAAAAAATGTTCAACATCCCTAGCCATTAGAGAAATGCAAATTGAAACAACACTGAGATTCCATCTTATACCAGAAGGAATGGCCATCATCAAGGAAAAAAAAAAAAAAACAACAAAAAACAAATGCTGGCAGGGCTGGGGTGAAAAAGAAACGTCCTACATTGTTGGGGGGAATGTAAACTAGAACAACCACTATAGAAATCAGTATCAAAATTCTTCAAAGAACTAAAATTAGAAATTTTATATGACCCAGCCATCCCCCTTCTAGATATCTACTCCAAAAAGCTCAAGACATCATACTACATTGGTACATGCATACCAATGTTTATAGCAGCACAACTCATAACAGCTGAATCCTGCAAGCAGCCTGCATACCAATCAACAGATGACTGGAGAAGGAAAATGCGGCACGTGGACAAAATGGAACACTACTAGGCTATAGAGGAGGACAAACTTCAAACATTTATTGGAAAATATAATGTTGAGTGAAACAAACCGGCCAGATGAGCTTAAATATACAGTACCTCTCATTTGAGTATGGTAAAGTACAAAGAAAGAGCACAATAAAGGACAGCTAGAAGAAGACAATGGGATGGATCTCTTGCAAATGGGAATGGGTCCAAGAGAACATGAGAGACAGATGGGGGCGAGGAGGGGAAATGAGTTCCGCAACTGCAAAGGGAAAAAAAGAGATCAGTTCTAGCCAAGGTAATCTCAGGTTTTTGGAACTATGAAGTGACTTTTAAAGATGAGTGGAATTACAAGCACAAAAAGAAGGCGTTAGGGGCTAAGAGTACAGCATGAACCAAGGCAAAAACATATATGATCTATTTAGAGAATATACTTAACACATATTTAGTGTAAATGGGGAAAAGTCATAGAAAGGGATACTGAAAGGGAATAAAGCTCAAAAAATTGAAGGTCTGGAATGAAGTAATACTTTTGGATTGTGCTTAGTAGGCTTCCAACTGAGAGACACAACTAGATCTGGTGGAAAATAATTGGTGACAAAACAGGTTTAGAAAAGTAAGGCATTAGAGAAAGGAAGACTAATTAGAATATTATTGTTTTTGTTTAGGTAAGAACATGCAAACAGTACGAATAATAGGAATGGAAAAAAAGAAACTGAACTAAATAAGCTAAATTCAATTCAAGAGAAAATGAGAAAAAAACCTAATAAATTAAGTTTCTAGGTTGTTTGGAGACAGAAAAAAGATGTGGAAAACTAGGAAGAGATCACGAGAAAGAGGCTCAAGCAACACTCAGATTTAAGGATTATTTAGGGCAAGAATGAAAGAGACGGAAGAGATTACTAGTGGTGACCTGTGAGACTATCCCATCTTTAAATGGTCTGTGCAGAGCCAGATGCCCAGCATCAGAGACAGCATTTTAGTAGGAGAAGGAATGACATCAGAGCCGTGAGCCAGAAGATGGAAGAAAAGGGGTTTTGGGAACGGTGGGGGTGAGGGAAGTGGGGCTCTTGGTGGAGTATGTAAATGGGAGAGACCTCAGCACCACCATGTCCTTTGTGACAAAAACAAGTGACCTAGTTTTGTTTTTGCAAAAACGAATAACCAGAGAAACACCCAGTTTGGGAACATGTCTTCTCTTCTGAAATAGGAAAGAATAAGCGGATAAAGACAGGACTCTGAAACAGGTTAAGGGAAAAAATATCGGCAGTCAAATGCAATGATACTTCACCTTGGGATGGCAAAAAGGAAGTTATGAGTAATCCCATATCGAAAATATTTAAGAAGTGAAAGCAACAGTGATCACACACTTGGTCCCTCTTGAGATTTCTTTCTTTTTTGACTGTTTTATGCAATTACCTGTCGGCTGAATGTATTCTGCACATGCATCCAGTAGTCCTCAACTGGATCGTAACAATATATTGCCTTGGTCAGTCCACCAGCAACATAGATCAGATTGTTTAAGGACACAGCTGTTATACACCTCTTGGCAATTGGAATAGCTGCACGAAGGAGCCAAGAATTGGTTTCTGGATTATAAGATTGAACCTAGTGATGCACAGAAACATTTAATTAAAATTGCTAAGCAAATACATAAATTCATTTAATTAAAAAACTACATAGAAACATGATTAAACATCAGGTCCCATTAACACAGAGAATTCATCTGATAGTGAAATGTGTGAATTATGAAAATTCTCAATGCAAATTTACCACCAAGCAGAAAAGAGTAACAAAAATAGACTGTTTCTAGGATGGACTACTAGCAAACTACCAGGTTTGCTGTACTTATTTCCACTAAAATAAACAGTCTAATTTTTAAAAACATGTTCTCACTATGTAGATCCCAGGCTCTCCTTAAGCTCATAATTCTCTAGCCTTAATCTCCCAAGTGCTGAGGTTACAGGAATGCAATGGTCTAAACTTCTAAAAAATTGTGGTCAGGTGGCCAGGGAGATAGCTCCGTGGCACAGCACCTGCCTGGCAAGTGCAAGGCTGATTCCTGGTACCAAAAAAAGAAACTGTGTTGGGTACGATAACTATGCATGAACACAATTTCTTTACAACTTCTAGGGAGTTATTTCTTCAGAAGAACATAAGTAAACTTCAATTCTGTGTACTTTTGTTTTTTGAGACAAGGTCTTGCTATGTAGTCCAGGCTGGCCTTGAACTCATTATGTAGCCCAGGCTGGCTTCGAATTCTCTTCAATTCTGCTGTGTTAGCATATTAAGTGCTGGGATCACAGGCCTGTGCCATCACTGCTGTTCTGCGTACTTTGAATGTTCACAAATTCTAAGGTAATGAACTGTAAGTAAGTAGTATCTGACCACATTCACTGCCAAACCAATTAGGTAGTTTTTCCCAGAATAAACATGGTGTGTCCTGAGATACCAGGATAGGCACATTTCTTTTGTCCCAGGAGGTCAATGAACTGCAGTCACTTTGAGCCATCCTTCACTCACTCTTTCTTCTAAAACTACTTAGAAAGTATGCAGGAAATGCCCCAGTGGGAAGCAGTATAGTTACTGTGCCTTATACTCACTTCCCAACTGGGTTGCACGTGAATAATTTTAGATTCTTTAGATGACAGCAGTAAGATATAGGTCCTGAGATAAGTCTCATTTCAAAAAGGTTTAATCTCACTTGTTACAGCAAATTAGATCAAAAGTCAATGATTTTCCTCAAAGGAATAAGGTACCAGTTTTTGTTTTTTTTTTTTTTTTTTTTGTCTTTTTGAGACAGGGTCTCACTATGCAGTTCTGGCTTGTCTTGAACTCATTTTGCAGCCCAGGCTGGCCTCGAACTCCCAAGGACCCTCCTGCCTCAGCCTCCCAAGTGCTGCGATTACAGGTGTGCGCCACCACACTCAGCTCCAGTCTATTTTTTAAAGACGCCTTCACACTAAGTGACCTAATTACATATTCCACAAATCATCTCTTTGTTTTCATACATGATTGGTAGTTTCTTTGACAGAACATGGTTTACCTTATCAGAACAAGTGTTATCATCAGGTCCTCCACCAATCACAAACAATTTGCCCACACAGCTGGTCACAGCAGGGGAACTCACTGCTTCCTTAAGGGGAGCAACTTCAGTCCACCGATTTGAGAAGGAATCGTAACACTCTACACTGCTAAGTCTGTTTTGACCATCGTAGCCGCCAACAACATACACCTACGCGTAAAGTACATGAAAACATTTTACAAAAGGTCTAAATTTTGAACAGGTTGATTAAACAACTTAGGGATTTCCTACTCTTTAAAAAATCCTTCAGTGTAATGTATAGTGTGCATGTATGAAGTCTCTACAAGGACATAAACATCTACCAAAAAAAAGCTCTCAATAACTATAACGGCAATATTTTTAGCTCAGGTTTCTGACCTGGTAAAAAACCAGTTCCCCTAGTCCTATCACCATGGGGCCTTTTTTGTTCCCAATGGCCCTGTTTCAATGAACTTTCAATACCACAGGTATGTTGAATATTTGTTTACTTTACTATATGTGCATCAATGCTTTACACAAGAAGCATATCTTTTTTCAGCCTCTCAAGAACCTATCTCCATCACCCCACTGGGGGTAACATTGCTTGTGTTGGGAACTACATGATTTAGCTCAAATGTTCACTCCTGGGTAATGAAACATTTTATTATTACAAAAGAATAAAACTATCAAACTAAAATATTAGGCAAGGATTATTAGATCATGAGATCACTGAAGGCAGGGGCCATCTTTTATCTCCCACAGTACCTAGAAAAGTAATGAACTCTATGGTTTACACTTCAGAGAGCTTTCACATACATTTTCTTTTTATAAGTAAGAGGAAGGTGGGGTAAATTAGTAACTTTGTATGACAAGTGAGCCAATGAGTAAAGGATTTATTAAGTGGCTTATATGTACGAATAATCCATTATGCATGATGGAATATGCAAGAAACTTTTAATCTGAAAAAGCTCTCCAGCTTAATATCCACATTTCTTTTAATGAACAGCTATCATCAACTCTTCCCTCCATAATTAACTACTGTCTTCCACAGCATCTCTCATATCTAACCCCTTCTGCTTCCCATTGCTACTACCCTAGCTCAGGGTCCACATCATTTATCTTACATACCCTTTTAGCATCCACTCATGTGCTCTTTATTTTTTTCCACTCTTGTGCTCTTTAAATCACAGATAAATCTTTCTAAAACTCTTTATCAATTCCTTCTAAATTCTGGGGGGGTTTTCTTTTGGTAGTACTAAGGATTTATATATGCTAGGCAAATACTTTACCACTGAGCTACATCCATAGCACGTATGTTTTTTTTAAATCATGAGACAGGGTTTCTAAGTTGCCCAGGTTGGCCTCATACTTACAATCCTCCTACCTCAGCCTCTTGAGTAGCTGGGATTACAGGCACATGCCACCATGCCCGGCTGGCTAGCCAATGCCATGTTTATCCTTCAACTGTCACCTGTTGTTAATTAAAATGATCTGTTGGCGGATTTGTGCCCCCAACACCAAGCAACTAAGAGAGGTAAAGTAACTTACAAAAGGTCAAACAGCTACTAAGGGTAAGGTGCAGGGGCACACAGTAGTAGTAAGCGCACGGGCTTGGAAGGCAGGACAGTTGGCCAATATCTAGCTCTGCCACACAAAGCAACAGCAGAGACTAGGTATTTATTTCAATTTAAAATGCAGAATAATACTCCCTATTACACTAGAGAGAGAGAGAGACAAAGAGAGAGACAGAGAGAGAGAGAGAGACAGGGTCTCACTTTGTAGTTCAGACTGGCTCTGAACTCTATGTAGTCTAGGCTGGTCTTAAACTCACGGTGATCCTCCTGCCTCAGCCTCTTGAGTGCTGGGATTAGAGGTATGCACTACCATGCCTGGCTAATACAATACAATTTCAGAAATTAAAACTCCTACACATGTAAATGAAAATACATGCTGTGAAGATCAAGATAAAAATCTAGATAAAGAAATCGTGAGCCTTTCACTACTGCTTTATAACTTTCTGTGTAACCTGGGGCAAGACTTTTGGGCTGCTTTCTTTATAAACTGACAAAGTTATATTGCATATTCCTTATAATTCCTTCCTGTTGTGAGAGTCTACACTCCAAACCATCTTAGCTTTCTTTATAGAAAGTATTTGTAAGTTTAAATAATTTTACACATTTGCATTCAAAGTGTATCGTAATTTTTGGCTTCCTTTGAGTACTTGCCGTATAACAGCGATGATTCCTTTTACTTCTTGATTTAATGTTTCCAAGTTCTGGGTATCTTCAGTATACTAATATTTGTGAAATAAATTTGAGTTCACCAATATATAATGGTTTTTGAGGCATAATCATTTTTATTTGCTTTTACATATCCAGGTTAAAAAATTACAAGTAATATACTTTTAGTTGGACCTCATCTCCTATTATTTTAGTCCTTCTTTTCCAGTAATACTTTGTCATTCTTGATGGACAGTTACTAAACTATATCTTAACACAGCAGGTATGGACACACCAATGGATTCAGAGAAGATTCTGTTAATATTCTATTTCTGGCACATCTACCTTAAGCATATTTATCTTAATATATATTCAAGCCAGGCATGGTGGCACATGCCTGTAATCCCAGCACTCGGGAGGCTGAGGCAGGAGGATTGTTGTGCGTTCGAGATCAGCCTGGGCTACAAAGTGAGCTCAAAGCCAGCCTGAACTGCATAATGAGACCCTGTCTCAAAAAAAAAAAAAAAAAAAGACACAAAAAAATGAATATATATTCAAGTATGCTGCTTTCACTCAGACTGTTCAGTAAGTTGTGTTATCTCCAAGAACTGAAAGACATGATGGCAGGGAGAGGCTAATGACCGAGATATTCCTTGGTCAACTGCTGTGTATCTGCTTAACATAATGGACTTTTATATGAGATTTAACTTTTAAAAGAGGGTAAACAAGGCTTTTAAAAAGTTTGGCAACCACTAGTCCTAGGTTAATAAGTACAGTAGATGGTTCTCAGGTTAATAAGTACAGTAGATGGTTCAGAACCCAAATTATATGGATTTTAATAGTAATTTGCTGCAATCAATAATACATTTTCTTTAAAATGCTGGTGAGTTTATCTTAATATTGATTTTAAATTTGTTTTTTCCCTATTTATGAAATTTTAAAAAGATAAAACAATACCACTTTAGATAAATATATCTTTGCTTGCCTGCCAAAGGCAGTAAAGTGAAAAAAAATTGGCTTGGATTAGACATTGGCCTGTTTTTTATTTGATGCAACTTTTCCTTTTTCCAATTCTTAGACATTTGGACTCAAATGGTGCACAAGAAAAGAAATTGCTGCACTGCCACTAATTCCAAATTGGGAGAACAAAATAGCCATTCAAAAGTACAGTGTCATATTGTTTATATCTTCAGTTTATCTACTGAGGTTAGGCATGGAAAGAAATACAACTTGAATCCAAAATACCCAGAGGAAAAGTGAAATGCAGGATTTAGCTGTGGTATTTATTTTGGAATGTAATAAAAAGTGGTTTCTCTTACTTTACCAAGGAGGACAGCCATTTTGTGACGCCATCTGCCTTTATTTAGAGAGGCAACTCTGATCCAAAAATTTAACTGTGAGTTATAGATCCAGACATCACGGCTATTGATTCTTCCACCTTAAATGCAGAACAATACACATGCAATGATATATCACTGTATATCTATCACCAAGGGGTCTATGCCACCAACACACAGGTAATGAAAACATGGCATCTACTTATTTGTTTATTTGATACTGGGAATCGAACTCAGGACCTCACACTTGCCAGACAGGTGCTGTGCTACTGAGCTAAATACCCAGCCCCGAACATGGGCATTTATTAAACTAATTTAAGAATTGAGAATTCAGTTCAATAAATCAAATGAGGACCCGTTTACAGCTTAATGGCAGTGGTTCTACAGAGATTTAAACTTTGCGTATTGTTACCTTGAAAAGTAATGATTAAAGGCTTGAAATATTAAAAAACAGAACACGAGTTTTACAAACATAAAAGACAATGTAGGTGTCAGATATCAATCAGAAGACCTCAAACAACAAGATTATTCTAAGTCTTTTTTAAAAACCATACTACTATAGTACAACCATTGATAATAACCTACCACTTTTGTCTGTAGCTCACTATTATTTGTCTGTTTTCCTGAGAAACTACCTTGTAGATAACAATATGTGAAACAATAACCATTGATAATTTCCTACCACTTTGTCTGTAATTTGGTAAGCCCCCCATTACTATGTTATCTTTCTTTTACTCTTAAAAAAATAAATAAATAAAAACCATACTACTACACAAAACGAGGTATGTGCTTTTGTATTATTAAAGGGGTAGTAATATAATAATCTACAAAGCTGATAAATTTATTTTGCCAATTAACAGTTTCAGGGCTGGGGATTTAGCTCAGTGGGCTGGGGATTTAGCTCAGCGGCAAAAGCGCCTGCCTGGCAAGCGCAAGGTCGTGAGTTCGGTTCCCGGTACCGGAGAAAAACCAAGAAAAAAAAAAAAAAACAAACAAACAAACAAACAAAAAAAAACAGTTTCAAGCATAAATACTATCCTTATACATTTTGTAAGTTTGAAACTTTCTCTCTGACTTTAGAAACAACATATCACACAGACAAAATTAAAAATTTTATAGAGAATATCCTACTTCATAAATTTTGTGAAGAATTTCAGAAAGCATGGGTCAATTAGTGATGTTTAATGCTGAGTACTTCTGACTTTGCATGCTTTACCATAATCCTTAGAACAAAGTAAAGACATAAAAACTTAAAACATTATATCATATTCCAAATACATTTGGGAGCTTTTAAAATATGATAAGATTAAAAGCATTTTCTGGTGGAACATTCTGCATGAACTTGTACCTCTTTTTAAGAGCAAAAAGTGATTCTCAGTTTTATTTGTGGAATAAATTGGTTTGCCTTAATTAGTGAGTGTATTTGTATTTCATTATTTTCGTTTAACACACTGTTGTTGTGTAAAACAACCAAGCTGTGTCCAAATCAAAAGTAGCTACTGTAGTAATTCTTTACCTGAAACAAGAATGTCATTCCTTAGAGCACAGACCGCATACTCTGACTTGGTGAATTCTGGAAGCTTAGCCAAAGACTTCCACTCTCCTGTTACAGGATCATAGCACTCAGTGTATGGAAGATTAAATCCTCCAACTCGTTCACAGCCTCCAACAACAACTATCACCTCTGAATAGCCAGTGGACCTAAAATTATTTTAAGAATGTACAAATAATAATAAATAACAAATTAAAATACATTTAACAATGTGTAAAGCCCTAAGAATAAACCACACCCTACCACAAACAGTTCAGTTTATTTTCTGGGCATGTGCCCAACAGCACAGGCTGGCAATTACTTCCTTGAGAACATTTACGAAGGAGTTAGTGACATCGTTCTTCCACAGACAATGTGTCTGGGTATTTTTCTCTATGGGTTTTTTTTTCTCTATGGGTTTTAATATAAAAATTGTAAAGCAGTCCAAAGAACCTACCTAACTAATTGAAACACTGGTAATAAGGATGATTTTCAAATGTAGTTTTGCAACAGTTCAGTTATGTTAACTACACAAGGTAAGGTAATATACTTTTTCTAGTTGTAGGAAAATGCTGTCTTTTCATGATGTTATACTAATGTTTTTGTAAGTCATACTAATTCATAGTATAATCTAAGCACTAAAGAAACATATGTACTCAATTATAACTTTTAAAATATACAGTAAATTAAGGCAATCTAAAAATGTTGGGCAGTCACTAAAAATGCTGACAGATTTATAATGAAGAATGTGAAAAGGAAAAAAAAAGCAAGATAAAATGTGTACATAAAGTTTGCTCAACACCCTGTAGGAACCGTGCCTGGAAAGCATATGCCTAAGTGCTAATGACGGTGGTCTCTGAGGCATGCGGCTCCTTGCTTCCCATCATTACAGATTTTCAAACCCACAACAACTAAGACCTGTTTTTAGAATGGAAAAAAAACACCTTTTAAGATTAAGAGACTCCTAGGGTTCATGTTCTCATTGGCTTCTCTTATCTTGTAATTTAAAGATAGAGACAAGAAAAATCAAAAGCTTATTCAAAATTTTTTTTGTTCATAAGGTTCAACAGACAGTTTTAGAATTTAGAAATTCTTTGGCTTTATATAATTTTTTACAAATATAATCTAAATGAAAAAGTCTTAGAATTTTTTTTTCTACAAGTCTCATAAAAGAAATGTCAACAGCTGGGCATGGGTGCACACGCCTGTTATCCCAGCACTCAGGAGGCTGAGGCAGGAGGACTGCTCTGAGCTCGAGGCCCACCTGGGCTACAAAGTGAGTTCAAGGCCAGCCTGAACTGCACAGTGAAACCCTGTCTCAGAAAGGTAAAAAAGAAAGAAAGAAAGAAAGAAAGAAAGAGAGAGAGAAAGAGAAAAAGAAAAAGAAAAAAAGAGAAAGAGAAAAAGAAAAAGAAATGTCAACAGTTCCTCTTCTCTTAAGTTAAATGTAGGAGGAAAAGACCACATCACAACAGCAAGTTAGAGACAGGGATGCTAACACTGTATTAATGAGTTAATATATGTAATAGTATGTAAACAGTTCCTGGGATATGTGTCTATTATTATTATGGAAGGATAGCAGGGTAGGTACCTGTCACAAATAAAATTCAGTTAAATTAGAATAATTATAAAATAAGCTTTGAGGAAAAATATATTGGCACAGATGCACAGATTATTAATTTTTTAAAAATTATGTCTACAATAATTTTTTATTTCTTTTTTGCAGTGCTGGGATTGAACCCAGCACTTGCTAAGCAAGGGTTCTACCACTGAACTATGTCTCCATCCCCTAAAGTAAACCATTTGGTAGCAGGTGTTTCTGTCTCTCAAAACTGTATTTCCTAGTTGGTAAATATATAGCCCAAATTTAAAATGTCTTACAATTTTCTTCATGAAACCAATAATCATCTTTATTACAGATTTCTGTGTCAAATGCTAGGCTCTGCATTTTTCATGTTATCTGCAATCTTCACAATGATTTTACAAGGTAGGTGGTATTATGTATGCTACAGATGAAAAGACTGATACACAGAGAAATTATGCCCAAGGTCATGAGATTAACTAGCTGTGCCGAGTCAGATTTGAAAGCCTGTTTGATTCTGAAGCCAGTACTCTGAACACATCATGACGCTTGCACTAAGTGTTTACTAAAAATAATATTATCTATCAGTACAAAAACTGTTAGTTGCAAAATATATATTACTAAAAATACAGGGCCAGGGATGTAGCTCAGTGACACAGCACCTGTCTGGCAAGCTCAAGGTCCTGAGTTCAATTCCTGGTACCAAAAAAAAAAAAAAATACAACCACTGTTTCTAAGCTTTACTTTCTACTTTGATTAGTTTTTCTCAATGCAAGCAAAACTTTATATCCAGCAAGGCAGATTATCAAAGCTTGCTTGCTATTTATTTTTGAGACAGGGTCTTACTTATGTAGTTCAGGCTGGCCCTGAACTCACTACGTAGCCTAGGCTGGCCTTGAACTCCTGGAGATCCTACTGACTCAGCCTTCTGAGTGGGAGCGCTGAGATTACGGGCATGCACCACCATGCCTAGCCTTACTTACTTATTTAACTGGAGCAAGCCAGAGTCTTTCTCTATGTAGCCCAAGCTGGCCTTGAACTTGCCAAAATCCTCCTGCCTTAGCCTCCCAAGTGCTGAGATTACAGGTGTGTATCACCATATCTGGCTGATTATCAAAGCTTTTGTGCTTAGACTGGCCTTTTATCAGGAAACTTCCATCATTTCCATGTTTCATCCAAGAAATATAGGTAGATAGGTTGGAGTACCCAGTATGCCTTGAGCACTGGCAGATACTTACGGTAAGCACTAAAAAAATTATTGACTAATGTGGGAAGTATAATTTAGCTGTACAGAGGTGGAGGGGATCAAACTGTTGTCACCCTATTCCAGTTAATTTTTACATCATCATTGGAAGGACAACTGGATATGCTGTGTCTCTTTATGTGATACAGTATGTGAACATTATGTAGGGTGAATTCTAGTCACAACATATTTAACTAGTATACATCAAAATGAAGTTTTTATAGCCAACCTTCAATTTCCAGGAAATGTAGCTACATAACACTATAGGAAAGGCACCAGACTAATCCAGAAAGTAGAATATTTTTCTGGACAGCTTTTCCATCAGCAAGTCAGAATCTTGAAAAAGAACTGTTTTAGAATAAAACAAAATTTCCTGGAAATGGCTAGATGTAATGAGTGATCCTGAATTGGGTCCAGGTTTATTAAAGAACAGTTTGGAAAGATTTGAACATGGATTGGGTCTGAGATAATATGAATTATTATTAACATTAGTTGTAATCATGTTCTTTTGGCTATTATTTTAAGAAGATGAACATGCATGTAATAAAACCTATATAATTTAAAAGAAATATGTAAATAAAAGTAATAAAATAAAAATATATAAACATTTAAAAATGTGAGTGAATAAATGAAAGAGAACAGTCTGGGCTGGAAATACAGGTTTGGTAGTTAACAGCATGTACGGTAATTAAAACCATGAGAATAGCTGGGATGAGGTCACCTAGCACAGTATGGAAGGCAAGACAAAGAGAAGTGAACCAAGCAGATAACACTTCAAAGACGATATGGGGGTAAGAACTATCCAATTAAAAAGGAGCAGCTGGAGAAACAGGATATGAGGAGAACGGTACTCCACAAGCCACTGGAGGAGTTTCAAGATGGAGATGTCAATTAATAATCTCGAATCTTAAAAAGAGATCAAGCTTCATAAGGATGGAAATAGGCTAGCAAATAAAAAACCGGAGGTCAGTGATGACCTACTCAAGAGGAGTTTCAGTAGGGACTGCAGCAGAGGTCAGAGGAAGGAACTGTGGTTGAAGAAGTGGAGACATCACTCCTCGTTCAAAGAAGGAGATGAGAACCTGCACAAACAACACACACTGTTCAGAGGACGACGTTTTTAGGAACTGGTGCTAACATGCAGTAACAGACAAGCGAGAGAAGGCTAAGGGACAAAAGGTGATGGCAGAGTCCTTACACTCCTCATTTAATGCCCACATAAATACTGCTACTGGATTTATGGTGGCCTAAAAATTCAGTATGACTATAGTTTGGTTTTTCCTACTGGTCTCAAGAAAAGTGACGTACATTTCACTGTACAAAATGAATTGGTTCCCTTTAGACTGGATGTAAAATACATTTTTGGAAATCAAATAATAGGTGAATTCGGAAAATCACATCCTTAAAGTAGTGGAGGAACATTGAGGCTGTGATATGATTTTACTCAGGTCATGTTTTTATGAGTAATATTAATAATTAACTTTGCTTTTACAATCCATAATCATTGGTTCTTAGTCTAATACCATGAGCTAGCAGGATGAGGACATTAATTAGCCGCATTTGACTCCAGAACATTTTGTCTACCACAAGGGGATATTGCTTGGAAAATTTTCCCTCTGGAAGTATACTGTGTATTCGAAAAAGTCTGACAAAGCTAACAATCGCATTGCCCTGAGGCTATTTAGCTTTCTTAACGAATACATTCAGGAACCTTGGTCTTCCAAATTTCTGTTTTTTTTGAGACAGGGTCTTGCTCTGTAGTGCAGGCTGGCCTTGGACTCGCCTATGTAGCCCAGGATGGCCTGGAACTCACAGCGATCCTTCTGCCTCAGCTTCCCAAGTGCTGGGATTACAGGTATGTGCTACTATGCTTGGTGGATCCAAATTTCAGCCCGAGTGTCCTTAAAAAAAATTAGTGCATTCGTAGAATAAAATCATGATTTCTGTCCTGTGTGGAAAGACTGGAAGTAAAATGTTTGATATGTTTAGGACTGTAATACTTATAATAATTTCAGATAACTGAAGAACAATGTACCCTAATACAAAGAATTATGTCAATTTGTTGTAATACTAGCTATCTAATATTGTATCTAATTTATAAAAAGCTCACACTTTAAAGTACTGAAATTTTCCTAAAGTGGGTGAGACCTACATTATACTCTAGACATAATAATAGCTAATAATAATAATTACTAGGTACTCTATATGGTGGTACTAAGATGACTGCATTTAATGGTTTCAAGAAAGTAAACTGTGAAGCAAACCCTATCATCACCTCATTTTACATATGAGGAAACATTAAATCCTGTTACATCCAAACTAGTGAGGATTTTAAAAGCAATCTTGTAAGATGAATTTTAATCACGTTCCAAAACAATAACACTCCAAAACAAAGAGTAAAATGTAGTTTTTTGAGCAATGCTATATAGTAAATTTATAGAAAAAATGGAGATAATATGGAGAACTACTGCTTTTACAACAATGTGGATATATTTAACACTCCTGGAGTGTACAATTAGAAGTAGGTAAGATGGTAAATTTTGTGTTTTTTACCACAACTCAGGAGAACAAATAAAAATCCAACAGCAACTTTAGCTTTTTCCAAAATATATTTAAGATTCTTCACTGTAATACTTGCTAATTCACAATAAAGTTAGCATTATTCTTTTTGTTATTTAAGCATAGAGATTATTTTTATATAGTTATGAATTAAAATCTATAGGCATTTTACAGAAATAACTTACTGTAAGAAATATGGCAAAAATTGAATTCTACTCCAAACATAAATTTACCAACTACAGGTGGTCTAAGAATGCCTCGCTGAAGTGGTTACTAACTCTGTACCCAAAGACTTGCTACAAAGGAAAGTTAAGCATGTTGAGACACGCACAGTTACAAAGACCCTCTGTAAAAAGCCTCTGATAGAAAACAGTAATGAAGAAGCGCCACTGCTGAATCTAGCCTTCATCACAGATTTCATTCTTATGATTTATATAACCCAAAATGTCTCAAATTATAAAAAGCTACATGTAAACTAAACATATAAATGACTACACTGAGACTGGATTCAGGAATTATAAAAATATTTTTAAAACAACTTTTGGATGTGATACACACCTATCTATCTATATCTATAGCTGTATCTCAATTCCCCAAGATGAATGTCACATTTTGCAAATATATATTAATATTTAAAGAGAAGAAAATAAATGATAAAAAAATAACAACTAAACCCAGTTTTTGTTAACTGTACTTGGAAACAGTCTTCTCACCTGCGTGGCCTAGTCCTTGGGGACATCATTTCATTCCCAAGTATGTGGTACCGCCTTGCTTCATGCAACAACTGGTAACACTCAGGAGAATTCTGGATCAATTGGTCCACCTCAACTGTTTGAACAAAGTAGTTAGGATGCAACAGGGGGAGTCTCACATGTGTCAGGAGCTCGTGTAACAGTGGTCTTCTCAGATCAACAGCACGATAGACCCAACGCATGACGGCTTCAAAAACCATCTCCTCTTTACCAATAACAAGTTCATCGCTACAAATATAGTCAATGAGTTCATCTTTGTCAAGCTCAAGAAATTCTTCATGCTGGGACACATCCTCAAAAGTCTGTAATGCAAAGGTTTTGCATTTTGTGAAGAGCGTTTTGAGTGAATGGGTGTCAGCAAAGCGCTGGATTCCTAAGCAGTTACAAGGATCAAGTTGCTCCTCCAAAAACTTGGCACACGCATCCCGGAGAACACCAATCTGAAAGAGGCTGGAGGTTTCAAAAAGATACTGGACATTCTCTGTAGTGATCTTCACCTTTCCAGTATAAACATACTGCAAAAAACATTCCATAGCCTCAGCTAAAATACCATTGATTTCAACCAACATTTCTCGGCTTTCTCTGTGGTCATTACAAAACATAGCTCTGAAGTAGCTACTGCAGGCTGAAAGAACAGCTCGGTGGCATGGAAACTCTTTTCCTTCCACACAAATGATAACATCTGTGAATAAGCGGCTGTCTCGGAATTCATTAAATATCTGAAGTATGTTTTCAGCATGGGATGATCCTGAAGAGAAATCAAAAAACTCACGGCCTGTCAGAGATTTAGGGTCCATTTCAAAAACTTTACGCTTAGTTGCTGGGGAATCGCGCATCCCAAGATCCTCTCTGTTTAGTCTGCGTCCCAATATTAGTACCATTGTTACATCAGTTAGCTATATAATTGTTGAGAAACGGTTGTTAGGGATCTTCTTTATGTGGCTAAAATTTAAAAAAATGAAAGTTTTAAAATGTGTAAAATATTCAGTGTTCAAGTTACAAAATTTCATTTTGATATAACTACAATAATCACGATCAATACAGTTCCCAAAGGGTACATTTTAATAAAAGTTAATGAAGAAAATTTGCATTTGCACTATTAGAACATTGGGTAATTTGTAATAGTGCTCCTGAAGTTCCCCAGTTGAAAGGATACCATGTATGTTTTAAGTTACTAATAACCTTCCATCTTCCTTTTATACAGATTTCATTTTACTTACTAACTGCAAGGATTAACCAGAAAAGTGTAAGACAAAGTTTCACTATCCTCAGAATCTTAAAAAGTTGTAACTTTTAATATAGCATTGTTATAAATGAATTTAGCTATATCTATCAACAGACTTATGTATATTGTTTGACTAGTGTCTCTTTCTAGCAATTTCTAAGAAAATAATCAGCAGAATGGAAAGATTTATCTACAGAGATGTGCAATGGTGTGTTAGTAGAAAATACTTAACTGAAAGCCCTATAATAGAGGGTTAGGGAAATAAGAGTGTATCTTCAGTCTATGCAGCTATTAAAAACATACAGACCATTTAATGGCACACAGAAATGTTAGTATTAGCCAGATAGTAGATGAAAAGGTAGATCATAAAACATCTGCTAACAGGAAAGTATATATATTAGTGCATCCAAGAATAGAAAATAGGAGGTATATATACCAAAAATACTTTCCCCCAAATTCCCATTACAAACAAGTAATACTTTGAGATTTTAAAAAGGCATGTTTATCTAGGCCTTGCTTCCTTTTGATAATACAAGAAAATCCTCCAAGCCCCCAGAGACTACTATAAATAAGTAACCAATGGATGTTAGGCACTTGGCTATAGATATCAATTCTCTGATGTTAATTTTTAAGGGAGTTCTGCTCCCACTGTGTGCATTTCTAGTAGGTGATACATGATCTAACATCTACAATTGGTTTGAGTTCTTAAAGCAATGCTCATCTATTCCATGCCCTCAGACTCTCATTTGCAATCTCCAGCTTGCTCCTGAAATACATGAGCAATGGCAGCAATAAGAAGGTAGCTAAACAACATCAAGGATAATTCACAAAATGGGATGTCATCCTACATTCGCAAGCCACAAATGAAATTGGGACTTGAGAGCTAACCATCTTAAGGCTGTACAGTATTTTGTGTGTTTGGTTACATATTAAATTATATCCCTCTTTAAAAATCCTTAGGTGACACAAAGGAGAAGACAGTGTGATCAAAAATCAAGAACTTATTTTATTATATAAATAATTATTTTCCACATTATTATTCTCAATCACTTTTTTTTTCTTGGCAGTATTAGGGCTGAAACCTAGGGCATTCTCACTAAGCGACATCTCCATCCCTTTTAGATTTTTTATTTTGAGGCAGTCTTTTCACTAAGTTGCCCAGTGTGGGCTAGAATTTATGATCCTCACTGCAATATTCACTAGCTACTTCCATTTTTATGAACTCCTTCACTGCTCGCCTATGTTGCTATGATCACCTCTGTGATCACCTCCACCAGCGGCATGCCTGGTGTATTTGCATGCCTGTTGTTGTCTGTCAAGAAACTGCACTAGACCAAGGATTGAGAAACATTAAGTTAATGTTGCTGGGATTTTGTTTTGTTCTTTAATATGGCTGCATCAAAGCCTCCTGCCAAAAAAGACATACAACAATATAAGGTAGCACAGACAACATGCCACATTGGCATAGACAACATAATTCCACCTTAAACTACTACTTTTTTTTTTACACAGGGTCTCACTGTGTTTCCAACCCGTCCTCAAAGTTGCTATGTAGCCGAAGCTGGCCTTGAGCTCACAATTTCCTGCCTCAGCCACGTACACCACAACACCTGGTCCTCTTAAACTTCTATTACTATTTCTACAGCCCAGCACTCAATCTTCCTAAACTCTTGGTGATAGGACTTCCCTCGAGTAGATGGATATCAGGTTATTCTGACCATTCAGAGGAAAGGACCTGAGCATGATAGCTGAAGGACACCTAGACATTTTTCCATTCCTTACTCCATCTTCCCTTGTGCAAGTAAAGTCAGAGAAAATTGAGGTAATTTTATCAAATGGGATGAAAGACAAAAATAAAATAAATAATACAGTATTTTTATCTGAGATGCCAAGGTGAGGATTCAGAGGCAGTATGCTGGCACTGAAATAACCCTAAATTGCCAGAATAATACCATGCTCTTTGGTCTCCTCTAAGAATCCTGGAAAAAGATCAGGAAGTTCTTGGAAATTTACCAGGAAACATTTGAATAACTATTAGGAGCTAAATCTCTATACTAATTGTATATCAGAAGATTGACACAGCCTTGGAAATTTTATTATATGTATTAAAAACGAAACAGAACAACTAAAAATAATCTTTTTTTCAACTGCACACTTTCTGAACTTTTCATGTGGACTAGCTAACAACCCTATATCGTCACTCTATAAGGCTGGTACTGCAGTTAGCAAAACAGTTTACAGCCTTAGGGTTTTACCCACAGAATGAAGACGGATTTTTCTAAACAGGTAGGAACTACTTACAAAGACTGACAGGACTAAACTTTACCATTTCCAGGTTTAAAAAAAGAAAAATCAGAAAATTCCAGTTATACACACATATGATTTACTTTCCAAGTAGGTAACAAAGGCTTGTATTTTTTTTTTTTTGGTACTGGGAATTGAACTCAGGACCTCATGCTTGCCAGGCAGGCACTGTGCCACTGAGCTATATCCCCGCCCTAAAGGTTTGTAATATAATAATATGGCAATGAAAAGTCACATGGGGGGCTGGGGATTTAGCTCAGGGGTAAAAGCGCCTGCCTGGCATGCGCAAGGCCGTGAGTTCGGTTCCCGGTACTGGAGAAAAACCAAAAAAAAAAAAAAAAATTAAGAAAAGTCACATGGAAGACACTTAAATGAACACACAGAGGTGTAAATACAAAACACCCTCCCAAACAACGAAAGTAACAACAAAAAGAGGCCGGGCATGGTGGCACGTGCCTGTAATCCCAGCATTCAGGAAGCTGAGGCAGGAGGATCTCTGAGAGTACCTGGGCTACCTACATGAGCTGAGGGCTGGGCTAACCTACACTACATAGTGAGACACACTCAAAAAAAAGAAAAGTGTAAATAGACCCACAAGAATGCCTTTGGGTGGGGGTTGGTGTCTCACTATGTAGCCCAGGCTGGGCTTGATCTTGGGATCTACCTGCCTCAGTCTCCGAGAGTACTCAGGTTACAGGTATGTTCCACCATGCTTGGCTAGAGAATGCTTATTATTGGCTAGTTTTTGGAGTAAATTTTTGTCTTTTTGAAACAGGGTCTTACTATGCAGTTCAGGCTGGCCTTGAACTCACTTTGTAGCCCAGGCTGGTCTTGAACTCACAGAGATCCTCCTGCCTCAGCCTCCCAAGTGCTGGGATTACAGGCGTGCACCACCACGCCTGGCCTGGAGTAAATGTTAACAAACTACCATAAATGTAGTTAATAAAATTAGTTTCTCTTAAATTTGAGGGAAAATTGTCCACATGTACATTATGGTGAAAGTAAGCTAGATTTTGAACTATAATCTAAGCTTTGGAGATTTTAGAATCAGATTTGCCTAAAAGCTCCATTCTGTTTTGCTAATTTTAATACCTAAGTGAATGAAAAAATCTGAATTTAGTATATGTTCTAATGAAGTGAGCACAAAAAAAAATCTGAGTTTAAAATATTTTGTTTTGGGGCTGGGGATTTAGCTTAGCAGCACAGCACTTGCCTGGCAAGTGGGAGGTTGTGAGTTTGATTCCCAGTACTGGAAAAAGAAAAAAAAATTTGTTTTGGGTTTTATTTACTCTTTCAGATTCTTATACTAGGAAGACAATACAATGTTTACACAAACAGGTCTGATTTATTTCACTTATGAGTATGGTCTCTAGTTGCATCCATTTACCTATAAAAGCCTCGAGTTTTTCTTTTTTTACAGTAGAGTAATACTCTATTGTATAAAAATACCATATCTTTTTTATCCATTCCTCCATTGATGGGCATCTGGGTTGTTTCCAAGATTTAGCTATGACAAATTGCACTTAAAACATGGGTGCACATGTATCACTGTGGTATGATGTTTTCAGTTGTTCTGGAAAATACCCAGAAGGGGGATAGCTGGGTTAAGTGTGACCTCTAATCCTAGTTTTGTGAGGAATCTCCTCCACACTGATTTCTACAGTGGTTTCACCAGTCTACAGTACAGATATTGTGAAAGTGAAAGAAACTGTTCAAAGGGAAGGAACAACTGGGATTAGGGAAAGGAGAAAAGAAAGAAGGGGAAAATATATGTATATACAAGGATAGCTGGGATAATTGTACTGCTGATGTCTACTGGTTTATTGAAAGGAACAGTTAATGCTTACATTTTTTTCTTGACCAATTTTGCATGCCTATATCTGGTAATCTGAGCAACTAATTTGAAGACAACAATATGCAATGTAACAACCATTGTTGAATTCCTACCATCTTGTTCAGTGAAGCTCTGTACCGTTTCTAATGCTTTTTTATTATTATTTTTTACTCTCTTTAATGGTTTCAATCTTCCATTCTTACATCTGGTAATCTGAGCAACTTCACTGAAGGTAACACTATGTAATACAACAACCACTGTTATCGCTGGCCATGGTGGCACATGCCTGTAATGGCCAGTCTGGGCTACAAAGTAAGTTCAAGACCAGCCTGAACTACACAGTGAGACCCTGTCTCAAAAAGACAAAACAAACACATAAAAAACCAAACAACAAAAAACCACTGTTAATTCCTATCATCTTGTTTTGAAAGCCTATCATTTTTATTGTTTTTGTGCTGTTTTTTGTCTTTGTTGTTCTTCTTTGTTATTGTTTTTTTTTTTTCCTTTAAAATAAAAAAAAAATTTGTTTTGGATTCTGGTGCAGGGGACTGAATCCAGGGTCTCATATAAGCTAAGCACATACTTTGTCACTCAGCTCTAGCCCTGATCTGTGGTTAGTTTTAAAATTGCTATCACTGCCTGATTACTTAAGAGATTTCATATTGGCCACACTACAGGGCAGCTAATTCTGTAGGTTGTGGCTGTCTATGCATGTATGTGTATGTTCATACATATATGCATACAAGCATGGGTTAAAATTTAAAAACCTACTTACAGTGCATAAAATCACTTGTGAATTCCAAGCTCCACATGTATGTAGGGCAGCAGCATGTACTATATCAAATATGGTTCTAATTTGAAGTTGTCTCAGTTACATTTCTATATACATAAATCAGTTCTCTATAGCAAGACAGGTCACTGCTGCTGCCTAGATGTCAATTTTTTGTTGTTAAGAAACTTAAGTATGTGAAATCACAAGTGATAAAGAGGGAACAATTCAATTATGACAAATAAGCTGTGGTGACCTGGAGTATAACTTATATTTGAATCACTGCTTCACTAGTTTCACATTTTGATTGGATTAGTCACAAAGTCAGCTTTTCAAATTGAGAACTTACTTTTTCTTTTAAGCACTTATTTTTAAATTCAACTTATCTAATTTCATATTGCCTTTCAGGTTCAAAACATTCACACAAGCAACTCTGACTAGAGATATACTTACTGGTGTTAACAATAAAATACTATTAAGCCTCTGTTTCCATACATCACATTTTCTCAATGTTTAATTGAAAACATGTTCAGAATGCAAAATGAAGTACCGTATCTTAAGAACTAATTTCTCTTTGGCTAAAATGGACAAGTAGGAGATCATATATGGAAGTACCCAGTGACATATCTAATTCTTGTTAGATAAATTTGGAGATAACATACTAAGTATCAATACAGCTGGTTAAAACTTTTCAGTAGTTAAGAATCTTCATATTCTATCCTGCCTCCTATTCTCACAGTTGGTTTCTTGATTTGTTTACTGACAAGAGGTTTTACTCTGCATTGCTTTTACCCAATGAAAATCTGAAAATGCGAGATTATGAAAATGCGAGGTATTATGAAATACTCAACAGCAATAATATACCGTAGTTGTTTACTGCCTTCTATGTTAAGACAGGCCATCTCATAGCATCATAGAACTTTCCAAGGTGCTTCTATCTGCTGCCTCCCAGTTTTCTGGACATTGTTGGTTTTTTCGTATTTTCTAAGAATCCTCTAATATAAACTCTACATAGCACCAAATATAAATTCTATTCATTACAAGGTAAATGACTTGCACAGGGACGTCTCAGAAGTGTGAGATATATTTCAAGTATATCTTTTAGGTTTCCTGATGCAATTCACTTGCTTTTACCTTCCCATTTTATACAGATAAAATATTTTAACCATCAATAATTAAAAATGTAAACAAAAGTTTAATCACATTTCAAAGTATAGTGTTTAACATAAGTTCAAGGTTTACCATGAATCAACTCATACATAATCAAGCACACAAAACACATGGCCTATATCCCAGAAAAATGAATAGACATCACTGTTTTGGTATCTTGAAGACTGGAGAAAAATAGAGGAGAGGAGCTGAGACTCTCAGGAAGGAATAGAAAGGAATGGGCACATAAGTGTTCAGTGATGGAAGTAATTATGACACTACCTTTCTATAAAGATTTTAACAACATTTAAAAAAAATTCTTAAAATTTTTGAGTCAGGTGTTTGCTAAGTTGGCCAGCCTGGGCTTGAACTTGTGATCCTCCTGGCTCAACAACTACACAGAGTACTGGGATTATAGGCATGTGACCATGTCTGATTTCTGTACAATCTTAAGGACACAACAGTTCCTTGTTACTCTGGTAGAAGTTATCTATGGTTAAAGTAAAAAAAAAAAAATACATTTTTAAACAATATTTACATAATTTATAAATATTATGAATATACCTTCTTAGCATTTGCTTGATCAAAGCTCCAGCCAAAGTATGTGTTACTTTAATGACCACACCTAAAATAAACAGAGAACAACAACATAAATCGGACACTAATCAGTTTATGTACAGTTGTCATCCTTTATTAATGTGTTGTAAAAGTTCTTAGTAAATTCTAGTTTCTGATTGAAAGTTCATGTTTGCATACAAAGTCAAGAAGAATAACACTTAAAGGAAATAATAACTTTATGTTTATATAAACTAATTTTTAATCAACTCGAGTATTTTATCCTGCAGTAAGATTTTATTTTACTTATTTATTTATTTTTGTCTTTTTGAGACAGGGCCTTCCTATGCAGTACAGGCTGGCCCTGAGCTCACTTTGTAGCCTAGGCGGGCCTTGAATTTGCAATGATCCTCTTGCCTCAGCTTTCTGAGCGCTGGGATTACCGGCATACACCACCATGCCTAGCTGCAGTAAGATTTTTTGAATGAGAAATAAGTAAAATATTCATGGCAACACCAAGCTAAATATGGCACTGAGAATAAGAAAAGTATGTATCCTGTGATAATTCCATTTTGGATATTTGAATAATGTCTAGAAATTGATATTTAAACCAAATTTGTTGTCATCAGATGATTCTAAGAGTCTATCAAGATTACCATAAGTAAACAATTTAGTTACTATGTATTGTCTAACTATGGAATCAACATAAGTAAATCTTAAGAACTCAGAAAAATTCAGGTTTTAAATTCTTAGTTATGGCCAGGAGTGGTGGCACACACCTATAATCCCAGCACTTGGGAGGCTGGGGCAGGAGGATTATTTCAAGTTTGAAACCAGCCTGAGCTACAAAGTGAGCTCAAGGCCAGCCTGAACTGCATAGCGAGACCCCATCTCAAAAAGACAAAAACAAAAAAAAAATTCTTAGATTTTTCTATATATCATCTGAGTTCATGAAATAATAATCTTTTCTTTCAATACATAAATATATGTCTTCTGTTTTGTTGAACTGTATAGACTTACTCCCTATAGAAACCCAACTAATACAGCACAATTCTTTTCCTTTTTTTTTTTTTTTTTTTCTTTTTGTGGAAGAGAAAGACAAGAATGTTTTAAGAAAAAAATACCAGAACTTTGAGCTGTGCACAGACTAGCAATAGTATTTAAATACAAGCAGTTTTGACTTCTGGCCTAGAAATCTATAAATAGAACTCAAATTTTAGACAAGTTTAGCAAATTCAAAAGTTAATTGCAAGACCAAAAAATAAACTACCACCTGATTTTTAATATATATGCAAGCACATCTCTATACCCACACTGTGCTATGACTATGAGACGAATATTATCTTGTGTGTTTCCTTGCTTTCAGACATCATTCTACCTTGTTCGTAAAGAATATTGCAATTCGGTTAAATGAGGGGACTGTTTGTTCTGGGCTAAGGACGTATTCTTTATCAACAAATAGTAAGATCTGAGCCAATGGAAGTACTTGAGTCAATTCAAAAAATATTTGTGGAAAGACTAGTCTGTGTCTGCCATTATGGTTGCAAATATTAGATTTGGACTCAAATTTAGACTCTGGAGGGGTAAGATGGAACCAAACAAGAATTCCAAGACTGATAGTAAAACAGATTCAAAGTCTCAGCATTCTTCCAGAAGAAAACTAGAATAAAGCCTCTCATGATTCATTTGGTCTATTACTATACCTTATGGAGTAGAAAGGGCAAGGAAATTCACCTGGGTATTTTCTGCAGGACTTCTAGGTAATACTTACCAACCTAATATAGTAAGGGCAAGGGACAGAAGAGGTCAGGGTACAAAGTCTGGAGAAGATACATAGTATTTACAACTGATCTACATACAGAGTAGGTGTACTCCAACAAGCTTCTTTTTCCTTTAGAATAATGGAATCCTATAAAAGAGATTGCTAGCACTGTTAAAGATAGTATGGATTAATGAAGGCCTTTAACTACTAAATACCATAGCAGAAAACACAGGAAACCAGTATCACCAACTAGTAAGGCCTCTGCAATTTGCAACAAGCAGTGTATTGCCACATGCCATGCTTTATAATACTCCACTGTTTTCCTCCAATGTAACCATGGGTGAAGAACTCAGAGGAGATAACAAGAAAGGTTGTAACAAGAATGATAACCAAGAGATTTATCTTGAAAGATGTATAGTAACTTAAAAGAAGGAAAACCAGCAAATAACTGCAACATAGTAAATCCTTTAAAATAACCAGCAAACTGTCTTTAACAAAGTATGACACAAAGCCAACCAGGTTTTATAACTTTCAGATATTTTTACTTTACAGTCACAAATGCTACTTTACTTAATTATTTGATGAACATTTTTCTTTTTCATTTTTGGTGCTAGGGATCATACCCAGGGCCTCACTCACACTAAGCAAGTGCTCTAGAACAGAGCCACACATCCCAGCCCCTGATGACCACTTTCAAAAATTACTAATTTGCACTATTAAATTCACAAAATAAAGTACTGTTCTGGAGCAGTAGTTTTTGAACCAAGTTTTACAAAGACAATATTTGAAGTCCAGTCTTCAAGCTATTTTCAATATTTTTAATTTCTTTGTGTGCATGTGTGTGGGTGGTGGTGCTAGGGATCAAACCCAAGGCCTTGTGCATGTTAAACACATGCGCTACCACAGAGCTACACCCTCAGCCCTCAACATTTCTTTCTTTCTTTTTTTTTTTTTTTTTTTTTTGTCTTTTTGAAACAAGGTTTCACTGTGCAGTTCAGACAGGCCTCAAACTCACTTTGCAGCGCAGGTTGGCCTCAAACTCCCAGCAATCCTTCTGCCTCAGCTTTTGGAGTGCTGGGATTACAGGTGTGCAGCACCACCCATGGCTTCCAACTTCTTGATGCAATCACTAAGATCATATTTACCCACCAGCAGAGATCCAAAACCAACTCAAATCTCTTGTTATCTGGCTAGAAATGTAACAAGTAACAATTATCCTGATTAGAACATCAGATGAGCAATATACGTCTATAGAACTTTGGTGAAAGGAAAGTACAAGAGGTGAAAACTTTAGGAGACCTTAATATGTCAGACCAGACAATACACTTCTATAACTAAAAAGGAATATCATCTTCTCCTAAATCACAGAAAAAATCAAATATTTCCAATGTTTTTCTCCCTTGCTATAAAACTTTTGACTACTGGTAACCTCAAACTCCTAAAAAAGAAAAAAAAATACATTAGTTATCAAACAACCTACTGTTCTGTTTTGCCTAGTTATGCTTCTCACTAAAGTTGACATGTAAACAATGTTATTTGACTTTATCTTGATAATATTTAATTTCTTTCAGGTGCATAGTACATTATTTTATGTTGAAACTGAAAAACCTATGGATTGTTGACATGTTTTCTGTTTGCAAAATTGTTTTTGCTTCTTTTACTAGAATGAATTAAACGTGCAAGGATACCACCAGGTGCCCTGTCACTTGAACAAGTTTGAAAGCAAGTATTTTAAATGACTTCTATATTTATAAAAGCATTTTTAAATCTGTATTTTTATTCATCTTACTGGTAGCATAAATTACAGAATCAACTTTTAGAAACATCAGGCAAGAGTAAAGCCTAATCTTTTTTTTTAAAAGACAAGGTTTTTCTATGTAGTTCAAACTGGTCTTGAACTCACTATGTAACCCAGGCTGGCCTAGAACTCGAGGTAATCCTACTGCATCAGCATCTCCCAAATGCTGGATTTACAAGTGTGCACCACCACACCCGGCCTAAACCTAATCATTTTTTAAAACCATCAATTTTAGTATTCTTTGAGGTTACCAGGTGGGCATGATGGTGCACACCTGTAACCCTAGCCCTTGGGAAGCTGAGGAAGGAGAATTTAGAGACCAGTTTAGGATATATGAGACCTTGTGTCAAAGAAACAAAAGTGAACTGTCAAATGCTGAAAAATTATGCTCACTAGATGATGAATTTAGGCAAAGATAAACCTTTCAATTAAAAAAAAGATGTTACTGTGGTTTCCTTTCTTTTTTCTTATTTGGACATGGGGTCTTTCTATGTTGCCCAGGCTGGGCTCCAACTTCCGGTTCAAATGATCCTGCTGTCTCAGCCTTGGAGTAGCTGGGGTGCCTTATTGTGGTTTTCATAGGAGAAAAGAGTTTTGGTTTCAGCGTTTTTGTTTTTGTTCTTTTGAGACAGAGTCTCACTGTGTAGCCCAGGCTGGCCTTGAACTCCTGCCTCAGCCTCCCCAAGTGCTGGGATTACAGATGTGCAATACCACGGCCAGCAGGAAAGGAGTTTTAAATGCTAGCAAGGCTGGGGTGAAAAAGGAATTCTCCCACTTTTCATTACATAGTCCTTACCTATTTATTTAAAATTTCCCAGATTTCTAGCTTATGGGAAAGTATATATAAAAAATCCTGCAGTCACTTATTTGCTACATAGTTAATATTTATTTTGCAAGGCTTGACCTTTGGGTTTTAGTGAAGTGGCAGAAAAACAAGGAAGTTAAAAAAAAAGTGTATTGAAAAAGCATTAAGGTTTTAACAACTTGGACAGAAGCCAGGAAAGTTTAAGATAAAGCTGATAGCCATAACTCAGAATATTATTTCTTCTTCCTGTTTAGAGACTAGGTCACAGACTTTGAATAAACAAGCTTTTATCACGTGGTGGTTTTTTTTTAAAGGTTAGACAGCTGCATTTACACTTATGTAGATATATTAAAAGCCCTCAAAGCACTAAGCTATGCGGCAGTTCGAATCACAGCAGCTGGACATTCTAGTGTTGTCATCTCTAGTTGAGTTTTTAAAATATGTTAAGAATGTATAACCAATGAAAACTGTTCACATTCAATTCCTGCTTCACCTAGAGAAATTTGATCTTCCTCCTAGAAGAACGTATTTTGTACATCTTGGGTGAATTGGTAGATTCACAAGAAAAGAAAATCTGACTAAACCTAAGTGCCCCGTTACGTCAAGAGATTAGAAAAACCACTTTCACTATATTATGGCTAAAAATGACTGGCCTTCCAGATTTCGTTACTGTCATCTTAATTTACAATTTTAAAACACATTTGCACTTCACTTCTCAAAACTTCGAATTACTTCGAAGATTAATACACAGAAGCCACATACACAGATCCCACAAATAAGTAGAATAACTCTTCTAAGCTGGGCTTTAGAAGAATCTTTAAAATTTTAGAAGCGTAAAGAAAAAAAAAATTTTAGACGCCTATACTCAAAGTATTTTTTAAAGTAGAAATCTTTTAAATCTTAACCGACAGCAGACTTTTAAATCTAGTAAGAAAAATCAACCCCCGGGTGATTTTTATCAAGCAGCTGGTGCACTTTAATGGTCTGTAACTGCAACCACTAAGACGGTGTTTATAGCCGCCAGCGAGAGCAAGTAATTAATCACTATAATCTATTGTGACTAGTCACTGTCCTACGGTCGGTCACCCCAAAATGTGGCGTTATGGGCTATATTTAGCTGTCTAAACCCTTTTTACAGAACAGGCAGGAACCAATCCGCAGAACTTCCTTCGCACCATCCTGGCAGATGATGCGACAGCAGTTACAGGGTGCTGATTTTCCGGTCCTCGGAGGGCGGACCTGGCCGCCGGCCCTGGCAAGCCTGGAGCTGCCCACGGGCTCGGGCTCCAGCAGCTGCAGACGCGAGCGCGCCGCCCTCACCCGCAGCGGCCCCCGCGGCCGAGCGCGCTCCCGCGCGTCCTCCAGCTCACCTTCAAGGGGGCGGGAGCACGGGCCTCAGGCCCACTCAGTGACAGGTCGCCCGCCAATGAGAACGCAGAGCTCGCCGGCTGGCCCCGCCCACCAGCGCCGCTGGGCCCAGGCGCGGCGCGCTAACGGTCTGCGCCCCGGCGTCCAGGACGGGAACTAAATGAAAAGGCCGAGGCGGGGAGCGGCAGGGGGCGGGGACTCGGGCGCA